AAACGGTGGATAAGTCAAAATTAAATATCACTCTTATATCTCTCGTGAATCAGTCAACTTAAATATTGTGCACTGAATAAGTAGTTGTATAAACATTATCGTTTTATTTAGGTTCAAAACGTTTAGTTTGGTTGTTGAATGAATTTATAGACTTGCTTTCTATTTTGAGTGTAACCACCGTTTAAGCTAAACAGGCTTGATAGAACCGGCCCCAGATAGAGCTATACTGAGTAAATAGTATACTTTCGCTTACTTCAAGGTTTGGAATGAAGGAATTTTCAGGTGGCTCCAGTGGCTCCCGAAATTTGCAAAATGGCGGCTAGCCGTTTTGTGTAAGTTACCGATAAAGAAATAAGCGAATTTAAAATAAATTCAGTCCCAATGACTCCCAAAAAAACACAAGAGACTTGTGTAAAATACTAAAACAATTATTCGCCTCAGGCTCGGTGATTATCAGAGAATATTCACCTCGACTTCGTCTCGATGAATATTCCCCGATAATAACATGGCTTCGGCGAATAATTGATTATATAGTAAGAGATGAATTGTTATATAATTATAGTAAGAGATGAATATATAATTATAGTAAGAGATGAATATATGATTATAGTAAGAGATGAATATATGATTATAGTAAGAGATGAATTGTTATATGATTATATAGTAAGAGATGAATATATAATTATAGTAAGAGTTGAATATATAATTATAGTAAGAGTTGAATATATGATTATAGTAAGAGATGAATATATGATTATAGTAAGAGATGAATTGTTATATGATATGATTATAGTCCAGGTGATCTGGGCGAAAAATGTTAGCCAATCAGCGCACAGCAGGGGCCCCCCAAATAGAAATCCATACCGTGCTGCCGCGCGCGCTTGCAAACTCGAAGAATCTGTAAACATGGCGGAAAAATATAGCTAAATTATAGCTAAAACGATACGTTTAAAGAAAATTTACAACTCGTAGGCATTTTGTACTCACGTTTTACTCTTCGTGTTGGTGTTGAACCGCCGATTGACAATTTTTGAGAAGTCTAATCTTCAAAATCTCGCGAAATCTATGTTCGATGCCGCCGAAGACTTCAACAATTTGCTGTATTCTGTCTCGGGGGTCTAAAGACTCATTCTTTCTGGCATGATCTCGAAGATTTAAAATAGCTAGCTGGGCAGCCCGTACT